CTTTTTTTCCAGTGCAGACAGCATTCTTAAAGGGGCTGTACTGCCTCCTACTCAGAAGGTAACTGGTGTCTAATATTTCTGGAGAGCAATGCACACAGAGGGCAAGGAGAAGAGAGACAGGGAATCTGTGTTGCCAAGATGCAAATCCTATACCTGATCTGTCACCACAAAGAATCACCATTGTCATATTGCAGACACTTTGTTGTGCTGCTGTAATTTCTGTTGTGCTGCAAATATGGATTTACATTACCTTGATTGCTAAATGGTAGTGCCACCTTCCCTCTTAAGATCAGCCTCTGTGTTTTGCATTGCTCTTGTTTTGTAAGTAGCTACAAATATTGATCTGAATAGTTTGCTGAAAATTTAGTTTATATTACAGACCTTAGAAGTTAAAAATCTATGGTATTAAGTGCACAAATGCTTAATTCATTGCACTTTTTGAAATAGAAACAAAAACCATTCAGAAACGCTGTAACTAGTTCTGCTCTTCCAAAGTTCACCTTGCTTACTTTTTCCAAGCATAGTGCACAACCAGTGGTAATGCAGATGTGTGCACATGGGGTAACAATCAGAGATGGGGACCAAATTTTGAGCACTTCAGTGTATCCTTAAAGATAATGGAAATCCATCTGGCCTCTAATTTCACCCCTCCAAATGGTTAACAGCTTGTTACAAAATCTGCTGCTGTACTCAAAGGGGTGTCCTCTGTTTTCAGGATTTCAGGGAAAAAAAAAACCACTTTTATGATGCCTTGTTTTTCAAACTTCACTCATACTCTTGAGCCTATTTGGTGTTTAGAATGGCTGCATCTCCAATTGCCACTCCAACATTTCTTTCATTCAAAACAATCTATTCATCTGTATTAATAAACATGTCAATCTATGGGTTCAAAAAAATCCAACCAACCCTCTAAGAACACAAAAAACCCACAAAAAACTTCTCATTAATCCACCTCCCTCATTAGCTAGGATTAAAAACCTTAGTCAAAATGCTTGGCCTTGTGCCCAGAAAAGCTATGAGATCAATAATCCAAACAGACTTAATGATCCTCTTAGAAAAGAATAACTTTTGTACTTCTCCTATGAAACGCTTTGAAAAAGTGAAGGGAAATATACCACAAGTGTCACATCATCTGCATAAGTTAATTTATCTGTTATTTTGGAGTTGGGGGAGGTCTTGGGAAAAGAGGTTGTTTTTTTTTTCTTCTCTCTCTCTTAAATGACATTTATTGTCTGCAAAACCAGTAATATGAAAAATCACAAACTGTATCAGTGATTAGCCTTTAAGAACCTAAGAAGTTTCATTAACATTTCCAGTATCTCATTTCACTCATGAACAGTTTAAAATTATTGCATTTGTATTCCTATACAAGCTCAGTATTCTATAAGACTCTCATTTAGGTAATTTAACTCGTTGGGATCCTTATTCTGACATTATTAATCGCAGCTTCTAACTTCAAAAAGCGTAGTTTTTATTTTACAAACTCAAGCATTGATGGAAAAAACCCCCCAAAACTAAAGCCTACCGTGTAGTTCTCTATCAGCACAAGAAGGTGTTATAAAAACCTGGTGCATTTGACTGAAGCAGGCTATAAACTCCACAGGGATTATTTCTCATGGACAGAATGGAAATGTTGTGGGGTAGAGACTGGTAGATACTCAGCAGGGCATATATGTTGCTTGTGGGTGTGCTGGGCTGACCACAGCTACGTGGGAATCAGTATTATCAGTTGCTCATCATCTATCCTTTCTACTGTTCCTGGAAAAAAACCAGGCATACCTGTAGCCCAATCCCTGCCATATATTTTTGAGGGGGAATAAATCACCTTTGAATGGCCTGGTTTTTTTGCTATTTACCCTAGAGATGCTACACAACCAGTTTGAGTTTGAAATTTTAGTCGCTAATTTTGGCAAGATTAGCTCATGCTGAAGACAACTCGCCAAAATTACAGCGAAGTGTGATGTGATGTCAGTAGTTTCAGAGAGCTCATCTGTTTGCTGTCTCTCAGGAATGCTGCTGGTATGGCCAGGGTGGGCACACAGGCAATCCTGCATGGAAGCTGAAATGCTCTGGGATCTTAGGCTTCTCTTCTCTGCCCAATGAGTGGGAGAGGGGACAGTTAGGAAGACCTTCCTCCAGCACGGCCCCCAGGAATAGCACCGGGATCAGGTGTCTCGTTTCACGTCGGGTCACTCAGCAATGTCAGAAGAGGAGGTAAGGGCTGGCCTCTCAGCAGGGCAGGGACTTCAGCTCAAGGCTGAAACAGGCCCTCCAGAACTTGCTAGGGAAGGAAGGGAGTGCTTAGGGGACAGGTCCAAGTGGAAAAGGCTGGGGCATTACGTGGTGGGGGCTTTGGAAGCAATTACTAGAGGTGAGGTAGGAACTGAGCAAATGCTGGAGCCCAATAAGATGGAGTCAGATGGCAATCAGAGACTGCAGAAACAAGGACTAGCAGTGGGCATTTGGAGTGGCTCTGCAGCAGATTTGAGCACTCGGAGACAAAGTACAGACCCTTCTGCAAAAAGTGGCATTTGTTTCGTAGGGAGAAAAGAGGAAGTATGTTGGTAAACGTAATGCTTAACCTACAAAGGTGTCTTAAAAAATATGTATTCATGCTTTGGAAGTGCACTGCCCCTTATTTTCACTGGAGATAACTGCATAGCTTCAACAGTGCTTCAGTCTGCACAGTTACTGCTTCTGTAAAGGTCATTACATCCACTTTCACAAAAGAAAACTTATGAAGAAAGAAAACTATTTGCATCCCACTTTCCTGAGGGAGAAAAAAAAATACTTTGCTAACCTGGTTACATAATTTTAGAGTCCAACTTTTCAAACTACGAAATAAATTTTTTTCAGACTCATTATAAAGCCACTGCTCTCCCCTTAACAAGCAGTAGATTCCAGGGCTGCACAGCCAAAGGAACATGGAGACCTTCTATCCAGCAGCTGCCGACACACTTTCCCTGTTAAACAAATCTCTTTAAGCGTAACTGAAAAAAATCTTCTCTCTCACCTGGACAAGCTATGAAAAGAATTGCTTAATAGATGTCAGCTGAAGGGTATAAAAACAAACCTAAAAGATCTACAGCAATAATGATTTTTAAGCTGGTACTGGTGATGCAAAATCAAATCTAGTCCTTAAATAAATTCCACAAGGAAATGTAAAGCAACAGCAACCTCTATAAAGTATGGCTGTGCTACCAAGGCAAACATGAAAGTTGTCTGCTACTGAAGCAGTAAAAACAAACAATATAAAGTTACTAAAAGAACCAATTCCCCATCTCTGTTGTTTACAAACACAAGAAAATTAAAAACATTTCTGATGGAAAAATTAGCATTTTTTCTGAGGAAAAAAAACCTGTAATTGCTTCTGGTTTGCTGGGGAATAATAAGTAATGGTACCCTAGCTGCTGCCAGATGTAACATGGTACTTGTTTCGCAGGCAGTACTAAAATCATACCTGGAAAGAGTTAATTACTTTAAAATAATACTTATACTTTTCTTAGTGTTTCAGTAATAAACGTTTTTAATTACCCAGGCAAAGGAGCCATAATAAGACAGTCACTACTGGAAGCTTTCAAGCAAGTACCTTGCTCAAAGACGGATGCTATTCCAGTCAAATGTTCCAAGTTCAACTAAAGTGATACCATTTCTCCTCCTTCTCGAAGTGAGACCATTTTGAAGACTGATTCTTCAGGAGTTCGTTGTGGCACTTCAGTTTTAAACCTGATCTAATGAACAGCCACAGATGCTATGGACTCTAAACATAAAGAATTGACATGTTAGCATATTAATGTACCCAAATGCCACATAAATCATTAGAAGACAGTTTACTGAATGACTCAGATTATCTGGCGATATCACATGCAAAGACTCTTTAGCCCTTAAATAAAAAGCAACTTCCTTTTGGCAAAGTCCTGATTAGAACAACATTGATTGTAGTTATTTATAGCTTAAATGCTATTGCTGAAAATTTCTCCAAGTTGTAGATACTGTATTATTAACTGTAGTAAAGCCCCTAAAAATCAGTCAGCAGAGGCCACTTCAATCTCCGCATGATAATAAAGGATTATTATGTGCAGTAACCTATTTATGAAAAGGAAACAGTGTGCTTCTTTCAGACTCCATCAATTGCTTTAATAAGGAATTGAAAAGCCTGGCCTACTTTATATGCAGATCACCATCCCAGTTGCATAAGGATTTAGAACAGACAAAACAAAACTGTTTTTGTTGTAAATAAGGGCTGTTTGTTTAAATCGCACAATAATGTTTGCATCTAAAAATTATTTAGAAGCTAATAAGGCTTAATAAAGTTTGACTGTATGCTTGTTAATAAAAATGGTTTCAATATTCTCCAGGAAGGAAATGTAAATTGGAGGTGATAACATAAAGCTTGAAGCAAAACAGGCCCGAGTTAATGGGAAAGGAGAAGACTTATGGCATTTGTTCACTGAAGGGCTTAAGAAAACCAACGCTGAGAATGGAATTCAGTTGACTTAAAACATTTTACAAAATTTAAGATAATGAACTCAATGGTAGTTTTCTCTAGCAGATTAGAATTATTGCAGTATTACTTTTTCCTTTAGAGGCTGAAAACTAGATATAATTCAGACTACTGAAAGTTAGTGTGATGCACATACTGATTTTGGCTACCCTGATTTGGAGGAATCCAGAGACCCAGGTTCAAATTTTACCTTTGGCATTGGTTCATTTGCCTGTATGTTAATAAATTTAATGAGGTGTGGGATGACCCCTGCTGGTGTCCCTGCTTATGAAAAAAATATATATCTGGCAGGAAAAGGACATGTTAATTTCAGTCCAAAAAGTTACAAATATAAACTCTGTCACAAAATGTATAAAAATACCTAATTTAATGCATAAAATATTATGAGCAATGTTCTGTTAAGTATGAAAATAATCTTAAGCCACTGAACATTACTGTGTTAGAACTGCAATGCAATGTATTAAGAAGGACATTAATTGTTCAGTTCACTATGACATTGTGTTAAACATCTTTTATTAATGAGCTCTTATTCCCAGCTGAGGCATTTGATAACCTCTAGTCCATTGCTAAATCCTCTCAGTTGGTTTCAGTGAATCACTCTAAACAAACCTAGAAGGAAAAAAATACCCCAATAATTTACATTTGAGTCTGTAAGGTCCTAGAACTAGAGTCATTTAAAGAAGGGCAGCTTTCCTATGAATCAAACCTTCTGATTTAATGCAGCTGACATATAGATCTATTTTACAAGTTTTTTTTTTAATTTCAAAAATACAACACATTAAAATAGGTTCAATTTATCAAAGCTAAGAGCAACAATTAAGTAATAATGTACTTAAAGTGCAAAGGCACTTTAACACAAAAAAGTGACGCCCAGTGGCTATAGTTGGTAATTGAAATAGCAGTACTGTATATTATTATTTACAAAAGAAAGTCATAGTCCAGGAAAAAAAGATCTTTGGAGATCTTCTACATAATACATTAAGTTTCCACTTTGAAATGAAAAGAAAAGAAAAGAAAACAAAACAAAACAGAAAACCCAAAGACCCCCTTCCTCATTTCCTTCAAAATCAAAAAGAATTATGCAAGACCTATTACAGAAAGGTACATTTGCAGTGACAGTTCCTACAGAAGGGTCAAAAGGAGAGAGAAATAACTTAAAGAGAACGTTGCAAAAGCAACACCATATTCCTGCTGTGCTGCACAGGTTCCTTTTCTCTCTCTCTCCCTCTCTGATTTAAAAAAGTGGAAACGTTGGGAATGCGACAGATGATATCAGCACTGAGTTCAGACTCAATGAAAAGTGATGCTGAGCTCATTTAAAAAAATTTCCTTTGTCTCCCACCTCCCCCCTCACAGCTGACTGATTGCAGTTTGTTTTTCCAGAACTTCGAGGTAGTCTGGTTCTGTTTGTAGCTTTCCTTGGAGTAAAGGATGCTCGGGTTTAGACTGTTCTGCAAAATATTTCCTGGGAGTTCCATATAAAACAGTTTTATTTATCCTGTCCTGGTTTTGGCGTCTTGATTCATACGAAGGGGCAAACTGCCTTTTGGGTAAGGTACAAAAGTTATAATGAACTAATCCTCCAGCGGGCAGTTCCTTGACCCTTTCTGCAATATTTTGATACAGAAGCTCTGGTTCCCTCGGCGAGGATTGCTTTTCCAGTAATTCAGCTGCACTGATGGTAAATGCAAGACTGGTGGGGTCTTCCTTTTTGTGGTCAAGACTGCTGTAGCTAAACTCATGGAGATTCCTGTAATAGGCAACTGGATCCCCTTCCTTTTGCATGTAAATTGGGTTTTGGCACATTTGTCCAACAGGAGGGGGAATGTAGTTATAAACATGTCCTTCAGTTTTATCGTGGGTCTCAGTGTTGTAAGACCCATACTGGAGCTGAAATGAACTTATATCTACGTTGTTTGCGCTGCTGGGCATGCTTTGCACCCCCTTCCGGCGCTTAAGGACGAAGACAAACAGGCCTGCCCCAAAACAAACCGACAAAATAAACACAACCAGCAATCCTAAAATTAAGACAGACAGTGGAACTTCAGTGTGTAATTCTGGGTAGGAGCTGGGTGAGACACCGAGGAGATGGGGTGTATCTGTGTTCTGGTTCATGGAGAGGAGAGAAGAATCTGACAGGTTGGGGTTCTCTGGGCAGATGGCTTCTTTGCTCAGGAATTTCAGATGCTCTCCGGAGTGCTTGGTGGGAGACTCGCATATGACTTCATTGATAACTACAGGGGGATTTGACTGCTGGTTGTTCTGGTCAGTGACTTTCTCTATCCAGTTCCTCAGCCCCAGGATGTCACACGTGCAGTCCCAAGGGTTCTCCTGGAGGTCTATCTGAATTAGAGCTGAGAGCTGGTCCAAGACTCCTCTCACAGGCAGGTGTGAGAAATGATTGTTTCTAAGGTTGAGTCTGGTGAGGGAAGTGCCACCAAAGACATTGTCAGGCAAGGATCTGAGCAGGTTGTTGTTGAGAAACAAGAGATGAAGATTACTCAGAGCATCAAATGTGCGTGGCAGGATCTCCTTAATGACATTGTACTCTAGGTAGAGATACTGCAGGCTGTGCAGCCCTTCGAACATAGAGCGGTACAGGATCTCAAGGTAGTTGCCATTAAGATAAAGTCTACGTAAACTTGTGAGGTTTGTAAAGGCACCTTCTTGTATCACTGCAATTCTGTTATTTCCTAGATGTAGCAAATCCAGAGAGCTGTACTCTGTGAGATCGGTTCTATAAATGACTTGCAGATAGTTACTGGTAAGGTAAAGTTTCTTTGGACTGGTTGGCCTGGGGTGGAGATCGGAGATGTTACTGATCTTTTTCTCTTGGCAGTTGACGTTTAAACCATTGTCTGAGCTCTGTGACGTACAGATGCAGCCAGCTGGGCAGGTGATGGGCACTGGAGACTTTGTCTGGTAAACCATGATAGGTCCGAATATTTGCCTGTCTTTTGACACAGAGACACGGGGGGTGGGGCGGTTCCTGGTTTTGGGTGGCCGGCTGGCTTTCGGGGCTCTGGTGGGATTCATGGCAGAGTTGGCTGTGGGCGATAGCCTGGAGATGTGCGGGTCTGAGAGGACAGGATGTTTTTCCCTCTGGTTTGAATCGCTGGAGCTTTTCCTAGGGCAGAGATCTTGCCTGGTGAGCTGGGTCACATCTTTCCCATGAAGCCTGAAGGGGGTTTCGCAGACTATCTCGCCCACAAACACGGTGATGGTGTCCAGCCAGGCCTTGAGTGGCAGCAAGTCGCAGGTGCAGTTCCAGGGGTTTTCCTCCAGCTGGATTTCCATGATGCCTCCAATGTGCTCCAGCACACCAGCAAAAGGCATCATCTTCAGCCGGTTCCCCCGCAGGTCCAGGTGAGTGAGGAGCACGAAGCGGAAGACATTGCTGGGCAGGGACAGCAGGAGGTTGTCATTGAGAATCAGCACCTTGAGCTTGTTTAGCTTGCTGAATGCCCCCGCTTCAATGGCACTGATGTAATTGTAATCAGCCTGAAGGTATTCCAGGCTCTCCAAGCCCAGGAACGTGTCTTCCTTCAGCACTTCCAGCTTGTTGTTATTGAGGTGCAGCCTCTTGAGGGTGCGAAGGCCGCTGAAGGCCCCTGTGCGGATCTCCTGCATGTCGTTGTTGCCCAAGTGGAGGGTCACGGCGTTGGAGTAGTTGACGAACTCATTGGGGAACAGGCGGGTCAGTGCGTTCCCATTGAGAAACAGCTGGTAGATCTTGGACGGTGGCGGCAGGAGGAGGCTGACGGTTGTAAATCCTTTGTTTTCACAATTAATGTTCAGCACGTTCTCCTTCTCCTCACAAGGGCAGCGGCTCTTGCTGCAAATGTCTTTGGCAGGTTTGCGACTCTCTGTCCGCGAGATCCCAGCCACTGTTAACAAACTGAGCAACCAAACACCCTTCAGCATCTTTATGCGCCGTCGATCCCCGCTTTGGTACCTACAGTCAAACCTTTTGAGACAGGTAAGGAGAGAAAGAAGAAATCCCCAGTGAAAACGGCCGGGAGCAGAGACTGCCCGGGGAGGGGGGAGCAGAGGCTTCTCGGGGAGAGCGAAGCAGGTCGGAAAGTGGGGAGGGGGGGTAAAGGAGAAGCTGCAAGGTAGCGACTCGCAAACTCCTCTGGAATCCCCCCTCCTCCTCCCTTCCTTCTGCTCTCCGAAAGCGCCTGCGGAGCTGCTGTGGGGGAAGCCCCGTCGGGGAGCTCCCCAAAATCCAGGGTTCCGGCGCCGCGCTCCCCGCCCGACCCCTCCGCCCGCTGGCTCCCGCTGGCACCGCGATCCCGTCCCCGCTGCCCGTCCCGATCCCGATCCCGATCCCGGCTGCCCGCGGCTCCCGCTCACCCTCAGCATCTTAAACTGGGGCTGGGAGAACAAACGCCGGCAAACCCTCCCTAAGCCTCTCCCCGCCGCGGGGAGCCCCCGGCCCGCGCCCCCCGCGCTCGTACCTGCTCTCGGGGCGCCCGAGCGGGCAGCGGGGGCAGGGGCCGCCGCCGAGAGCCGCCGCGCCCCGGGAGCCAGGAGCCCGGCGGCGAGAGGCATCGCCCGCACAGCGCCTCAGGAGGAGCCCAGCGGGGCGCCGCCGGTCCCGTCCCGTCCCGTCCCGTCCCGTCCCGTCCCGGCGGGAAGTTGGGCCGGGCGGGGGCCGAGGCGGCGGCGGCGCCGCTGCGGGAGCGCGGGCTCAGCGCGGGTTCTGCGCGGGGCGCGGCGGGCGCGGCGCTTTTGCGGGTGCCCCGCGCGGAGCCGCGCTGACGTCAGCCGGGGGCGGGGGGGACACGTTTTTCCCAGCCCACCCCTCCCTCCATCTCCCCCCCCTCCCTCCCAATCCTCTGTCCCCGTCCCCCCCACCCCCGCCTCCCTCCGCGGCTCTCGCAGCCGGCTCCGCTCCCGGCTCGGCTGCGCATCGCGGGAGCGCTCTGACAGCACCTGCAGGACAGCGCGGGCACCCGGAGCCGGGAAGGGGAATAAGGTAACGAGCCAGGATTTACCTGGGTCCGGAGAATTTTTGGCCCCGGGTCCCTAAATCCGTGCCCTCAAAACCAGAGAGCAAGTCAAGCAGCTTCTTCGGCACAAGCCAGCCGGAGAGCGCGCCCGCACCGCACACACACTCACCGCACACACGCATATCCCACACAGCCACACGCACACCCCACACACACGCACACCCCGCACATCACGCACACCCCACACACGCACGGTCTGGCTTTCGCAGCAGCGGTGCTGCAAATCCCGGATCTGGCATCAGCATCGTTTCCCCCACCCGCTCCGGCTGCAGCAGCCCCTTTCCCAAACTGCCGTGCCGAGCTCTGCCCAGAGCGTTGGTGTTTTCTACACGTTCAGGGAAGTTCAACACCTTCCACCAAGCCGGGCTGGCAGGCAATTCTCGTACCTGAATCCCTGCACCCTCTGGAATGCTCCCCCGAGTGCTGAGCAGCCAAGACCACATCTAATGCCATCATTCCCACTGGCTGGATTAGTCCCACTGCCCCATTGCAATGTTGTGGTGTAGCGTTTGGCTGCCTTTAAAAAGAACAGGATGGTGGATGTGGGTTGTTGTGACTTCGCTTAAGCCCCATGCCCTGGGCACAGATCTGTTTGATGGGAAAGACTGTCTGCTCTTGATCTTTATCTGAAAGGTAAAACTTTGGGTTCATATTGGGGAAAAAAAAAAAAAAAAAAAAAAAAAAAAAAAAAAAAAAAAAAAAAAAAAAAAAAAAAAAAAAAAAAAAAAAAAAAAGCAAAAGACACTCCACAATGAATTTTTAAAGTGCTAATATGGCAGGGTGCATTACTGACAGATTCTTATTGGGAACTATATGCACTTTACTTAGTCTTGAGAATGTAAAGGTTTGCTGCCAAAAGAGTGCTGGACTTGGCAAAAGTGGCGCTGTCATCTCGTGGTGTTCTTTAGCCATTACGTACCAGAGCCTACATTTTAGGAGCAGCATAAATGTGCTGTCTGTTCTTATCTCTCTTTTTGAGAATGGAAAAGCCAACATCCTGCAGCAGCCAGCACAGATGCCTTTGCAGTGCTCCTGGGCAGGAATAGTGTTGGAGTTTGCATTTGGGATTGGAGCAGTTGCAGTTTTCCTATCTAAAATTTGGAGAGCTTGTGGAAAGAGCAGGAGCATCCCACATTGGAGCGTGCTTTTGCTGTGGTGCTGTGTGAATTTCAATAAGACTGGGATTCTGAAAGGCACTCAGAGCTGCTCCATTCTAACTCTCTTTATCCAGCTGAATTCAGGAGAACAAATTGCTATGATCAGGAAAGATGTTTGTGGCAGATCTGCGGTTTTACAACACTAATACACCAGCAGCCAGATTATTATTCTGTGAGATTTTTTTCTTGTTTTCAGCTTTAAACAGTAGGATATGGTGTTTGGGGAGCAAAATTGGACTAGTTACAGCATGTAAAATCCTGTTTTCAGCTTTTTCTAACACAGTCTGGGGGCATGAGCCTAAAAAGAGGAGGTAAAAGTAAACCTAGGTTGATTTTTTTGTTGTTTTATCTCTTTCTGAAAGTAGCATATTCACACACACCTGCCCACACTAACACATGCACAGAGGCACACACACGTTCCTGTAACCTGCCTGCACAGTGTTGCCTGAACTCACAGGGCTCACTCCAACACACAGAAAAACGAAGGCAGAAGTCCAAGTGCATTTCCCCCTCATCCCACAGTGTACATTTGTTTCATGCCCGTGGGTTTGCAGTCATGTGCAGCTTTCCGGCGAGCAAGGATCATGCCCCGGAGTTGGCTTATGAGGCAGCATACACTGTCCCACTTGCTTGTGTTTACTAGTACGTAGGAAATGTGTTTGTGGTAACTGCTGGTGCTGCCTTGGAAGGGAAAGTGTACGCATGGCATGCCTCAGCAGTAATTACCAGATTCATGTGGGATGGAAGGAACAGCATGTTAGGGGATTGCAACAGTAATAAGACACAGAGATGATACTGATTCTATTACACTGCAAATGCATGCATATAATAACCACTGTTGTAGGAGGAGGAACAAGGGTTTATAAAAAAAAAATAGCTACAGCTTTTTATTTAGGAACAAAGTCATGATTTCTCAGCATGCCTGAAGTGTTTTATAATCCCTTCAATTAAAAACAGGGTATAAAGGAACAGCTTTGTTCCTCCACCTGTTTTACAGCCTTTTTATTTTGCATGCTGAATGCGGGAATGTTTTCAGGCTGGGAATATCTGGGAGCCTCCAGGAATGGAAGGCCAGGAGGCAGGTTGATACAGCAGCCCATGAGGGTTTAGGGTAACTCTGTTACGCCTGATTTGTAAGCATTGTAAAGGTTTCCTTTTTCCCCAAACACTTTGCTGTGTTCCCTCATCCCCCTTTCTGTGCAGTTATGAAGACTGAGTACAGACTCAGATTATGAAGCTTAATAGAACCATTGTGGCTTTTGGGTCTTGCATAGCCCAGGCCACCAGCTAAATTGAAATTAATTCCTGCTTAAACTAGATCATACTCATAGGAAGAAGGAAGAGAAAAACAAAAAAATGAAACCCCATAACATTCCCAGGCATATTTGAGCAATTGCCTGTGGTGAAAATCTGCCATAATGTTTGGTAAATTGCTCCAAGAGGTTTCATCTCCCACATGTAAAAAATTGTGGTTTCTACAACACCACATCTATTTACCTTAAGTTTGAATTATTTATCCTTGTAATATCCTTGTCTGCTGGCTTAAGAGCCCTTAATTATCCCATACCTGTTTCCCATGGGGCGCTTCCAGACTGCTGCAGAGCAAGTATGAACTGAATACTTGCCTGACACCAACCTTAACTCACTTCAAGTAGCCTGTTAGTCCTGTGCTGCTACAGACACCAGAACAGCTCTTGACTCTTGCATGGTCCTGAAGTCACAACTTTATTGATCTGCTGGCAGGGAGAAAAAACAGCCAGACCATGGCACGAAGCATAAGCATAAAATTTGGCACAGATCATTACCCTTCCTGCCTAGTGCACATCATGCTGTTGTCCTTCTGGGAGAGTAAATATCAAGAAGCAGAAAAAGTCTGGAAGTGTGGGGATAATTTTCCTTCTCCACATTGTGTCTGCAGGTGAATGCTAAGCACTTCTTATACATCTTTGTCTATCAGTTTATCTGGTTTTGTTTCTCTGTATATAAATGAAGAAGGAACAAGCATATCCACAAAGTCTCATGGAATAAAGAAGACAGAAGAAAGGAAGCAAAAAACTTTGTGAATTGGATAGAGGGAAGGATTTAAGCTTTATTGATCATTAGAAACTATTAATGTAGCCTGGATGCTGCTGGCAAGTAAAGAAGAGTTTATTCATGTAGTGTTAATAGATGCCAATGTTTATTTCTCTGAACAAAACATGCTGACTTATGTAGTAAAATAATGGGAATCTCTAAATTTAGTTATTCAGTGATCTCATGTGTTCCTTCTGTAATCTTGAACTGCATGTGAAGTACCTCCTCTATGTCAGCTTTTAGGGTTCTGAGACAATCATCAGTGCTCTTCAAAAAGTACCTTGTGTTCTTGCTCTCTCTCTGTGCCTCTCTGTATATGTGTGCCTATTTGGAGCTGGAGACATTCTCCCTCCATAACTACGTACACTGCTGGGTGGGATCTTTCCTGTACTGTAAAGTGGGATATTTTTAAGCCTCACTTAAAAGTAATTATTAAGGTAATAAACGGTTTCCAGATTTAGCAGTGAGCAGCATGCAAAATAATTGTTACTTGTAATCCAAGGTTTTATCTCATCCAGCAGCACTGGGAAGTGTGCTGTAAAGGACAGGATGAAAAAGGAGTCTCTGGCTTTCAGTTCCTTCGGGCAAGGAGCGAGCAGGGGGTGAGTGAAGGAGTGTGAGCACACAGGGCAGGGAGGAAGGAGCTGGCAGGCTCTGCCCACCATGGCCCTGCCTCCATCCCCGCTCACCCCTGCTGCCCAGCAACAGCAGACTGGAGCACTGCCTGCCCGAGAGAGCCAGAGCAGAGACATGTTTGTCATGAAGTCTCTGTGGAAGGGGAGCTGGTGGATGAGCCAGTCTGTGGGCACAGGGACGCTCTGGAGTATGTGGTGTCTGTTGAGTTGCCTTTTGCTGGCAATCGCTAATTGCCTTTGCCATCAGCTGTAACAAATTTGTTTGGTTTCCAGATGAATTTTTTAGCTTCATTTCTCCTAACCATTTGAGCATATGGAGAACTGGCCTACCTCAGAATACTGTTTACTGACACATCGTGACTACCTACTGTATAAATAAAAGAATTTAATGAACTATGACTTAAAATCAACAGGCTTTCTAACTCTTTCCTCGGTTTCTGCTTCCTCCCAGGAAGCAGTTTTGAGACCCATTATCTTACTGCAACATAATTTTTTTTGCAAAGAGACTTTATCATCATTTGTTTCAGTATATCTGGGATAATCTGTTTTGTAACAGCACAGTGTGATTCTACACTGGTGGTACAAACCACAGCAGTAGAACTATCAGTTTCTGATATTTGGTATCATTAATCCTAACTGTCTAAAGAAGAGAATTTTGTGTGTTATAATAGCAGTAGTATTGGTTTCAGCAGGAAATGTGCTAGAGAAGCTGTGTGTCAGGAAGCACTCCAGGTAGCCTGTGCTTTGGGGATACTGAGAGACTCATGGCTATGTAATTAAGA